TTAGCTGCAAATAAGTCATAAACACATTACTACTTACTCTGTGCACCTTGTCCTTCAAGAGTGTTCGACAAAATGTTCTAGTTGTTTTAATTTTTTAAATTATCAAAAAACAAATAAGCCTAGTTTTTGCCCTTTGTCCACCGCAGCCGTTATAGTGCATGACACCTGAAGTATCTAGACTATAAGATCCCGTTGCATTACACATCACAGAAAATAAATAATGCAGTCTAGAATAATAATCATCAGAAAAGAAGAGCGTAAGAGAGAAGAGAGGATATTGAGAATCAAGAGAAGTCTCGATGTCCTAATTTTCATCTTTTTTGAACTCCTTTCTTAAATACATTAAAATGCTCTGTTTTTCTTGCACACGATATTGCAGTAAGCATATTTCTACAAGAGAAGAATCCATCTCTCGAAACTACTGTCAAAGTATATTATCTGTTACGAACAAAATATGAAATATTCTAGTCTCATTCGTCTTGGAAGCAATGCTCTGACCTATGAGTCATTCTTGAGTGCTGGGAATCTTCATTTATACATTTCAGTTACGATAGATTTGGGAACAGTTACCGAGTGATACAGTTCACGATTTGTCGCGGTGGTGTAATGACAAATTTGTCAGAATATCTCAACTAAGGTAAAAAAGATGCAATATTCCCCCATTTATCTCGAAATACGTCTCTTTAAGCACAATGAAGACGAAATAATATGGTCGACACGTTGCTAAATATAGTTTGTTGAATATTGCATAAGTATTTATTATTGTATTCTTTAAAATTTACACAGACCGCAAATGAGCCGAGAGTCGCATAAAACGCTTGTTGGAAGACATTTGTTGTAAAATATTTGTTAGCAGAGTAAGTTCGACTGTCAACGCTATCAATAAAATGCAAGCCAAAAACTCGGCCAAATTCGTATCGTTTGCCCGAGGATATATTTCGCGAGACGTACATTGACAGCGCGTTTCGGAACGGAAAATTTCTGGTTGGACGCGAGCATTCTCTCCAAGAGAGTTTGGCAACCCTGTAGCCGCCTTCGGCTGTTCGCCTTCGACACGGCGGATCAACATCGCTGAAGCGACACGCGGAGGCGGTGCGGGGGTGGGTGGGGTGGAAGGGGAGGGCACTAAAAAAAAACTGCGAACGTGCGCGTTGCAGCCCCGCAGGCAGGAAAGGAGTCGAAGCGAGCCCTCGCCGCCCCCAAAGACGCTGCTCAGGCACGCTCGGCGGCGTTGGATCAATGCACTTAATGGGGTTTGTCGCGCGAATTAGAAACAGCGTTGCGGCTGGCGGGAGCCGAATTTTCTGTACAGCAATTGCTTTTGTTTCTCCAAGTTCGGCCTGAGGAAAGTTTTAGAACGTGACTGAATAGGGAAAGTTTCGAATGGTGATAGGGATAGATTCCCGAGGTCCATTTCACTTTAATGGGAGAATTGTAAAGTAAGGGTGCTATTCTCGGGTCTATGTTCCAGGTTTCGTGCGTCTGTATTTTTATATGTGTCTGTGATACTGAATGCCCACCAATCGGTTGAAACAGTTTTCACTTCATTTTCTGTTTTCTTTCTCATGCTGTGCATTAAATGCCGCAGTCAATAGGACTACAGTATGAATGTAATGTTTAAAGATTATGATTTTTATCACAATAAAAATGTTTCAAATTAGAAGAAATGACACAATATATTCGTAGCCCCTTGATGCGATACAACTTCATTGACAGAAAGTTCCGATCTTCTAAGCAATTCTCTCCGTTATTTTCTATCAGGTTTCCAGTAAAATTTTTACCTTGTATCAAAACCACTTTGTATCGAAAAATGTTCACGCTTTAGCTTATAATGATTATTAACTTTCCTAGTGATTTGGTTTCGAAGTGTTTCTATTTCATTGCTTTGAATTTTTAACTGCCAGAAAACCACTGTATCTATTACTTCTCACAAAATTGCATGCCAAAGGTGGTGGTAAAACTTCAAGGCCAATTCATGTTCAAAGAATTGAGAGCAGATGCAAGTCACGCCATACATGAATTTGTCACGTCACCGTCAAATAAAAAATGATCGTCAAGGATTCAGTTTGCAATTCACAATGGTGAATACTTGCTTGGAAAATATAAAACATTTTGCATACATTTAATATGTATTTTAACTGATCAGTTAATTATCGAATCGTTATTATTACGGTATTGTATCCCATTTTACTATAAAAAATACGAGGAATGTTTGAAGTCAATAACCAAAATATTTTGTAATAATAGTGATACTGGTGACTCACTCCCTCGGTTGCGCAGCGATTACCAACAAGATAGCTAAGCAAGTTTAAAGTAGTGTACTAAACAAAAATATTGTAGCGTGATGCAACTGTTGTTGGAAAGGATTACATTGTTAAATTGAATGGTAAGTAAATAAATATAATATTTATTTCCTGTCTTATAAAACGAATATTCAGTTGACTGTATCTATGACATACTCTCTAGTTTTCGTTAACGATACCACTGGCCAACATTTTTCACCTTTCCATGTTCTTCTACTGCTTTATTTATGTATTATCACACTTGTGATGACATTTTTTGTGTTACTACCGTAACAATATTTAAATAAGGCAGAGTCATCCATTATGGACACTTTAAAGGTTTTTCTTCCCCTTAAATTAAATTGTTTTGGTAACATTACTTTAGAGAGAGAATATAATAAAAATGTTTAGGTCAATATCTGTAGAATGAACACAGAATGTCAGGAATGAAATTTCTTAAATAGTTTTTCTATAATACATATTTAATAAAAACAATTCAATTTTCTACATTAATGGTCACATGTTCTTTATGTTGAAAATATGTTGAATACTAGTGGACTCGACAATGCTTCGCTATTGCAATGTATTATACTTCATACGTTACGGACCACGTGATTGTAAAATCACGTTTTACGCCACGCTCTGCAACATTTTAATCGATGAAAGACTCTCACTTTCTTGTGAGTATGTGTTTGTTGTATCTCCCTGATTTGGACATGGTTGTCGTGAAACATCCTATTGCTCAAACGTTCTTCTTTCAGTTTGGGCATGTATTCGCCATGACACCATCTTGGAGAAATTTGATTTACGTGTCCGAGATAAAGTTAAGTAATAATTCTTGCCAATATTTCAAAATCGCAGGGGAAGCATATGCAGCGAAATCGCGGTTAATACTTGCGGATGCGGCTGGGTGCCTAGAATGTCTGTTCAGGGGCGATTGAGGCATCTAAAAGTTCGCTTATTTTGCGTCTTTGTGCGACAGAGATATGTACATTTCCCATTGTACTATGCCTTTGCGCAACTGGAAGCAATAAGTTGACAAAGATTTATCACAATCGGATGGACGGTACGGCAGCGCAAAGAATAGGAACAAACAAACGTTGGTTTTTATTTATTAGAGTAAATAAGTATTAAATTATAGAAATAATTTCTACTGTATGAATACATTGGGGGAAGATAAATGGCTTTGTAGTGGGATTGTATGCTCGTTGACACTGAACAATCACTTCTTTGCTGATGTGGTAGGAAAAATGATGGCAATCAAAGTGGTTTAAAGAACGGTGCTGGAACTATTGTAAATTTTAAACCGAACACTTGATGTATGATTTTTATACAGTAGCTTTATCATGCCATTTTCTTTGAATGAGACCATAGCTGGTGTACCGGCTATGGCTGGTTCCTCTGTCCTATTACGTTCTTATGTTTTTGTTCAGCAAATATTCGTTGTGGCTAATCGTCTGGTCACACGTCTCGGTGAGTTACTGGAACGCAAAACGTCTCGTTCCGTTTGCGGAGTGCACTTTTTGTTGCGCGCGTGTTTCCCATCGTATTCATCGATTTCTCTGCAGAGGGGCTGAGCACCGCCCGCGACAATCAGCCAAACAAACGCCAAGCGGGAGAGGGGGTATCGAGCGCGACATCGCCGCGCGGGGGTGGGGGTTGGGTTTGGGGAAGGCGGGCGTGTCGGGGCATGAGTGCGGGTCCGCGAGCCCGGCTCCGCGCCGCCACGCCACTCGCCTCCTCCCCGCCTCACCCGCCCGCGCCCACCCAGACCGGCACGCGTCGCCCGCAATCGATACGGAGGCGAGCGACGGCGGAGGCGACGGTGGCGGGTGGGAGTGTGCGGCGACGGTAGTGCCAGTGGTGGAGGTGGTAGGGTTGGAGTCAGCTCAGTCCATGGAAACTGCGGAGAAAGTTACGGAGGCGACAGGTGGTGGAGGTGACAGGGTTTTGTGGGGATGTTGGAGGTAGTAGCAGAGACAATGGTGGACGTGACGGTGATGGGGGTGGTGACGGAGACGTCGGCGGGGGAGGGTGGGGGTGGTGTGGCGGGGCCCATGGTAGGTCTCAGGCACAGCGGAGGCCGGCGGGGGTGTGGTGCGGCGGTGGCGCCGCGCGGCGGCCTGCCGGCGTTCCTTCCGCCGCCCCCGTCGCCGCCGCCGCCGCCCTGGCGCCGCCGCCGGGCGCCGTGGCGACGCGAAATCCTCCGCTCCTCGGAGGGCGGGGGCGGCGCTGGCCAGGCGCGGCCCCAGCGCCTGGCCGGGATCCCACTCGCAACGGCGTGTCTTGGTCTGCGCGATCTCCTCGCCTTCTATGCTCGCGGGGGCGTGTCGGTTCCCTTCCTGAAGTAGTGTTCCCAGATTTACGTGTTTTGGGGAAAAAGAAACAGTAAGAAATGGAAGTGTACCGAAAAGAAGTCCATCTCAAGTTATAATCTGTACTATGAAAATTACATTGTGGTTACATACCACTCGTAGAACAAGTACTTTATGTTCTCGAGTGTTAAGCATTCAACCAAAATATCAATTTTGGATGTAGGTGAAGTGATGTATTTAGAAATTATATTTTTACTAAACTTTAAGAACAGTTTGTTCTTGAAATAGAGGGTATAGGGCAAAATTGATTATCTATAATGTATAGACTTTTTTGCCGCGGTTTTTTCTTGTGTATCGTCGATATTTGAACATGTTTTCATTGTTAAATATTTTTTTCTGAGAAATGAAAGAAACTTGTGGATGGGTAGGTAGATATATTGAAACTGTGCCAAGACGTTAATAGTCACAATACAAATAAAGCTGTAGTTATCGATATTTCATACTCTTGCTTTAAGTAAAGTTGCTTTAACCGTGACATATCATTTTCTTTCTTTATAAAATAATGACTTTTAATCCTCTGATTAAGAATAAAAATCATAAAAACTCTGACGATTGTTCATTTTATGTAAACATATTATCCTTTGTTTCTACTAAATCTTCAAATGGCACACTGACAATGAGCACAACATGGTTTACGAGAACATAATACAACATATTATGTATTCACATAAATACATTTAATAACTAAATGATACTATATGGAATGTAAAAGGGAAACCTTAGCATTCCCATTACAGTACACACCAAAAACCTTGAATTCTGTCTCGTTTAAAACATTTTACCGACAATGAACTAACAGAACATGGCTTAGTAGAGACATTATACAGCCCGGCAATATTCCACGGCTTTTATGCCGTTATTAGGTAAACATACTACACAATGTTATAAAATAAAAGGGAGTTTGCCCAATAACGTGTGTCGAGATAGGGGTCGTTTTGTGCCTACGCGTGTGAGGAAGGGCTTTTATGGGGCGCGGGGGCGCCCTTTCACAGCGAGCGAGGTGCGACGGGCCGACCGAGGGCGGGCGCAGGGCGACCGGCGAATTGCAAACCACGCTGTGCTCCCATCTTTCGGGATGAAGCCCTTTGTCTAAACTCTTTAGCTGCTTTGCTGTCGATCAGATACAAATGGTCCATGCGTTCCGCTTGGTGGGAAGTTGTTGGTTCTGTTGTGCGCCTTTGAATGAGTGTAATTGGCCTTATAGTTGTCGCGTATTTCAATCGTAGTGCAGCGAATTTTCGGAGTAATTTAGCTAGTTATGAGGTCTGCTTACACAGATACGTTTACTGTTTTTCGTTGAAACTCTCAGATATGAAATATTCCGCTATTTTCTCTGTGTTCAACGTGAAATATTTTGAACGTGGATTATGCGGTAGATTCTGGCATGATGGTCGTTTGAAAATTGAAAAAAAGCATCTTATACGCGAAATTTTCTCTTTCGTATTGTAAATATTATGTTTAATGTCAAATTTTGAAGGTAACCTTAGGATAATTCACCTCCAAAAGACAGTCTGGGTCTTGGGTGGGTCTTCTACAGACAGTAATCCAAAGTTGGAATCGGGACAATGAATAACCGTAAAATTTGTCATATTTTCCGCTTTGATATTCAAACTTCAAATTCATTAAAGTATTACATTTGAATCCACGTAATAAACAAAACCCGTGAAAATATTCAATTGAATATATCTTGATTAAATGCAAGAAAAAAGCGTGTTAAGTACTTGTAAATGCTCTTCAGAAACAGAACAGAAAAGTCTCGATTACGATAGTAATCCACGAAATAAATTAATTGAAATAAAAATATTCGACAAAATCCTTATAAAGAAACATGTATGGGCTACTCTAGAGTTGTGCAGACCCTCTAGGTCCGCAGATCGCACATTGAGATTTACTGGTAAACTGAGCTACAGGACTGCTAAAAGGGTTGTGTAATATATGGTCTATTATCTAGCAATTGTTATTGCCAATTAATGTTTAGCAAGCTCTAAGAAAGTTCATATATTTATTGTCTAATAGTTTATTTTACAATAGTTTTTTATAGCTGCTATTCGTTTCGCTTTGTATTGTTTTGATGATTCTGGCGACTTATATTAGTAATTTTACAAATATCAACCTACTGTAACCCTGCTAAAGCAGGAAGCCTATATACCATACCTTTACGGAATGTAGGCCAATAATAATAATAATAATAATAATAATAATAATAATAATAATAATAATAATAATAATAGAATAAAAGTGTTAAAAGAATGAAAAGTATATTCAAAACCTTTCTCAACTCACGAAATCTTACAGCAGTAATGAATATCTACGCAATACCAATTATTACATTTATATAGGGGATCATCAAAAGGTTGAAAACGGATACTGAATCCTTAGAAAAGCTTATCAAACGACCCGCTTCCAACTCCACTATTCAAAAAGCTCAATTCAAAAGGTCACTCTCCCAAGAAAGATGGGAAGTCGTAGCATCCTTAAAATCTGCAATATTCAAACAAAACAGATCATCAGCATGAAGGAGAACTTCCGGGAGAAAGATGTATCATCTCATCTACATAGAATGGCACAGGAAGCATATGACAACTATACGCCGTAGTGTCTCAACCAACATGTAATTGTGCCGGTCCGGATCGCTATGGCAGTAGTGCCCTCTGACGATTGCCGGGCCTGTGGTCAATGTAGCACGAATATTCATCACATTATCTCACGCTGTAATGTATTAGGCCCCACTGACTATAAAAGCAGACAGGAAATGGTGGGACAAATTATCCATGAACGACTTGATAAGATCTGTAATTTATCACCATGCCATGACACGCGATATTGCAAGTATATCCCAAAAATATGATTGAAAACAACAGCTATAACAACTCTTTCGGGACCGAAGTGTACTGACAGAACAGTGCACCACAACAGACCCGACATAACACTCTGGGATAAAACCAAGAAAAAAGTATGGTTTGTGGGTATGGCAGTTGTCGATACTAGCAATCTTACGACAGTCTATCAGACGAAGATTCTGAACTACGCAGAACTGGCCAATATCATGAGCGTGGGCACCGCGCGTCCGCGTCGTGCGAGCGCGTGCAGACGCACACCCTTTCACACGGCGCCACGCACGATGAGCCAAGACCGTGGACAGTTCTGTTGGCAGTATGCGCGCACAGCACACACACACACACACACACACACACACACACACACACACACACACACACACACACACACGCACGCATACACACGCACGCACACACACGCACACACACACACACACATCAGCCTCCGGTAGCTCGACGATGTAGCCAGAGGGCTACTAAAATAAAGAGCTGGAGGAGCACCTCGTAAGAGAAAGTAAGGGAAGAACGGCCAAGTGATAAATGAAGAAGCGATATTGGCTTAAATATTAATTTAATAAATAAAGATAAAAAGCGAGTGATAATGTCTCTTGAAAATAAACAAAACTAACGGTCTAAGATGAAAAATGGAATACAAAACAATAATAAAACTACAGCACACAGACAAAATACATGCCGGGCCCGAGCGGTGAATTACTAATAAAGGAAAAATAAAACTAAAACTTAACTAGTAGTGTACAAAAAGTATACAAAATTGTTTGGCATAATCCAAATTGCAAAAGTTTGTGTCACAAAAGTTCAATTCAATTAATGAGATTGCACTGCTTAGGATGAACTTAAACCTACTTGAACTACTTGGCTCGTCACCTCGGAGTCAGAAACAGGTACCTGTTATGTGATGGCGCGAACTTGTTGCCGAGGCTCAAGTCTTGCTGCGTAGAAGTCGATGCACTCGTCACAGTACACCTCTGAGCGAATACTCCTAGTCTCCGGACACAATGACTAGGCAATGCGTGCCTCCGAGGTCTAAATTTGGCAGATGCGCCTCGATCGCGCGAGTGACAGCCGATGTGAAATCTAACCACATTTCACTTCCCAATGCCGAGGCTTCGTACGTGTAGGTACTTTCTTATTGTAATAAGGGTCTGGGGTTTTTTGAAATATTCATCCAACGTTTCATGAAAATTAATTACATTTGAAGATGAACCGATGTTGAATAAATAAATTATTTGAAAAATTTAGTTCCACAAATATAAATAATTACATTGAAAGTTTTATTTTACATTACGAATAATTACATGAGGAAGAGTCTACGCTCTTGAGAATTTCCCTTTTTTGATCCTCCTATTTACCTAGGGACGAACCTGGGAAGATGGAATGAATTCCTGTGGAATGAGCGTCGTGGGAATTGGTGGAATGTACGCGGGGAAGTAACATTTGCGGAATGCCACTGGCTTGTAAGGAATACCACACTACCAAATGGAATGTCAGAAATGGAACGAAGATATGGCGTAATACTGAAAGACGAAGAACAAACAATCGGTACAAAACAGCGTGTTGCGAAAGGAAACAGATTGGGCGTTGAAATAGTTTTTCAGTTCTTTAACATGATTTATGTCGAAAAGTATATTCTGAATTCTGGGAAATACGTATTTCAACTTAATGATATGAGTAATGATTTGCATGAATGTCTTCCTATGCAAACTTTACATTTTATGAACAATTATTGTTTTGTAACTCTAATGTTATGTATATTTAAAGTCTTACTCATAGTATACACAAGACAAAAAAGGACCCTTTAGCAAAATCCTGCTTCGGCTCCCACGACGGATTTTCAGAGGGTATGAAAAATGAAATATTTTGTGGATTCAACGGAAGCGGTTTACTGAAAAAACTGTACAAAACCACTGTGTTGAACGAAACAATATCATAATACCGTTATATATGCTGAAACTTTCACAAATAAAGAGATGTTTTTGAGTAGGCATGGGTAAAGACTGTTCACATACGTAAGTAATTATGTTTTATTTTCATACAATACATTGAATGGGAAAACTGAAGACAATTTTGTAAGTGCCCCTTAATGTAGTAATTAAAACTAAATTTAAAATGATTAGTTTTGTAGTGTCTGAATATGTTCTAATTTTCTCACGAAATTTGGGTGGAAGTTAAACATGATAATCTATAAGAAGCATTTAGATGTTGGAAACAAATGCTGGGATGTCGTTTTGTCTACATTTGTTTAGTAATATTACTGCCATGGCAAGTAGAAGAACACATGAACCAATCATTACGTTAATTTAGGATTTTCTCCCCTGCAATCGTAGTTAATTATCGTTGGTGCACAAGGAGAGCGAAACAATTCAAAAACCGAATGGTTTTATTGATGGAAGAAATACGTTCAGAAAATACTATTTTTTAGAATAAGACGGTATAAAGTAAAGACTGGGATCGTTTCGCACATTCTTTAAAGTTGGACTACTCTGAATTCCTCAGAACGTGGTTTTGTACCTAGCTGAACTGTCGAAGGGCGGAAAAACCCACAGTGGATGTCGTGTAAAAGTTCACTGGGCCTGGCAAAATGAATTCCCACCCTCATGATATCTCACGCCATCCAAAAGAGAGTTCAAATATAGTTAACAGATTGTGGAAGCGGCATCTGGCAGAGAAAGTGAGAGTCATACCCAGGCGTTCAAGGCGACCCTCACAGGACGTGCCTGTTCGAAAAAAGTCACCTAGATCTGTGACGGGGAAAGGTTTCAAAGGAAGTCTGGGAAGAATATGCTGGTGTGGAACTACGGCCAATAAATAGCCCTGTCCTCGCAAAATAACCTATACGATAAATAAAATCTTAGGACAGCCTGAATTTGAACGGAGGAATCCAGGGATGTGACCAAGCCAACTATTTGGATCGTAGAAATGAAGGTCTCGTGCGTAAAAATGGTAACCCTCAAGGTTAAAGTTTTTTCTGATATTAAACATTTTCGTATCTGCTGTCCATACGCTGTGATTCCCCATTAGTCCAAATTATGGTGCATTATTGTCTCCCGGCTCTTGTCATCTTTATGTGCCCCATTTAAACCCCTTCCAGCAAAAATGTTCTCTTGCTTCTATCTCGCAAACGTTTCCATGTGTGTTTCCATGTTTTCCACCACATCAAATCTTATCCAAATGGCGATTGACATCGACTCAAACTACTACTACGGTTATTTTGCTTTCCTATTATTTTCGCGATTTGGACTTCTGATACTATGTTATTGGGGATAATGCTTGTTAGCAGATGGCAATAATTACCAATATTATTTTGAAAAAATGTATACCAAACCTCATTACAATGCAATATTATCATCCTATAATGATTTTCCTTCTTGATTCCTTTTGTCCACCCTCTTATACGTTCTCTAATACGTGCTATCATTACGAAACGAATATTCAATACGTTACATCGCTATATTTTAAATAGTGAACGACACTTAAGTTATATATTTAATCCAGTAACGACACTTCGGTAGTCGTGTATTATTACTGTAGGTAGCACCTATTTGATGTGTCGCAGATAGAAGCAATGCAGGAACATCGGTTCAGACGTTGCCTGAAATTAACGATTTGAAAAACAACGCCAACATTTTCAATATTTCATATAAATTAAAGCTTTAAAAACAACAATTTTGATGTCACTCCCATTCCACTCCCAGTGAACGGTTTTAAAAATGTGAGGTACCACCCCCCCAAAAAAAGTGATTGGGAGTTACTGTATATTGATTAGATCGCAGTTTCCCTTCATCAATACGAGACTTGTGTTGTTTGAAATGCTCGGCTAGAATGGAAACGGCAAGATGGTGTCATGCGCAACTTGGTGACTTCCAGGGAAATGAAAGAACTTTGCATTTACTTTTACTTTTTACTTTTTTATAAATCATTCTTGTGATATCTACGGAAAATATCAAAGAAGTGAGATAATTCTGATTATTATTTGAAAATTGTATTTAAAAAGGTTTGTTTCATGTATTAAGGTAAGGTTGATAGCAGGATTTGCTGTTATAGGCCAAACCAATATCCATGTATATGTGTGTAGTGATCTTGGTAAATATGAAGCATAATAAAGCATATTCACGGATATGCAGTATTTCTTCTACAGCACGTCCTTCTTTACGATGTAATCGCACGGGTTCCGGAAGTACATACATATTTACAGTGTTTATGTGTGTACGTGATACATGTGTATGAGGTGCAGTTTCCGACGGTCGTGTGCCATTTTCCCCGAGAATTCATATTCAACAAGCCCCAGACACACTAAAAACATATTTCTCTCGATATTGAGCCATATTCGACTTTTGGCCAACCTCCCCCTCTGTGCATCGGTCAGCAGGGCTCTGTTGGGCAGCCGACAGAAAGATGATCCGCTTATCTACAAATTGCTCTTCTACCAGCCTAATTAACGCATCCCCCCTCAATGTTAGGCATTCACCCTTCGTTTGCTGCAGGGGTGGCTGGGGAAGAGAGAAGCGAAGGATTATCGATATTTGACTTATCGAAGGAGGATTACTGTCAACGCGGGCCAGAGGTTGGGAGGCGCGGAGGGCGCCAAAGGGAATTATGGCCGAAATCCATTTCCCTATGATGGATCTCACCGGAGGCATTGTTGTTGTTTTATTTTCTTTTTTTTTTTTTGTCGTTGATTAGAAGTTGAATCGTGAATTCATAATATTACGTATTCATCCTGAGCGGCGAATATCAAACTCAGGATAAGAAGAGGAAAAGGAAACGAAAACATTACTAATAAAAATGTAGAAGATAAACTAAAATTGTACTGAATCTTTAGACGACACTCAAGCGTCTTCGAATATATTGTTTTAAAACATTAATTTAAACTCCTTTCTTAAACAAAATACCTGTCTTCACACTACCGGATATATTTATGATCTTTCAGTACGTTATTCACTATAATACTTAAGAATATTTGCGTTGAATGTGTAATTAATTTAGTTTCACATTTCAAGATACACGCTTTATTGCTATTTGCGACATAGTTTTGTGCTTTGCAGTTTAGTGAATGGATAAATGATTCCAGTCACAGTTATTTCAGAGTCCATGAGTTTTGTTTTAGATAACTGACCTTGGGGTGTGACAATTGGAAGGAAAATCAAGCTCCAACCTGGAATTTGTTTCTTTTGCAATTTATTTAGGTTCGTAAAGCGAGCAAAAAAGCAGAAATTTAATTATGAAGGAAAATAAAAAAGAACGGTTGGTGATATTTTGCACAACTGCAACGGATACATAATTAAATATTTCATAAGTTATAAATAGCATTTAATGGGTTTGTATTAAGCAATATTGATCTATTGATCTACCAATAGTATATTACTCGAAATGGACGAAATCAATATATGAAAATTTATCAATAATTTATTTATTTTTAAACATGTAAAACACAGTTTGCTGTGCTCTAACACCGCTGTAATGATCAACCGAAATTTTTCTCTACGAATTATCGATAGTTCACTGTTCGATATATTTATCTCGACATCGGAGATTTAACAGACAGCGCAGCCCTGCAGTTCTAATTTGGTTGCTTTGGCGAATGGAGTTCGTCCGCGCGTGCTAGGAGCAGATCGAGGGACGGTGCGGAAAAGTGTTTGGAGTGCAAAAGGTGAAAAGGTTATGCTAAATGAACACTATTTGCCTAAGAATTTTACTTGATTCATTTTTCAAAAGCCGGTAAAGTAAACATTCTGTCTTCATTCTTTGACGTGTACGGGAATCTACTGCTGAATTGGAAACGAAAGGTAAGTCGAGCAACGCAAAGGATGCGATACTATTAAAGAGTGCGGTTGTTTCTGTCTTGTTGTTTTACTAAACGTAATAATAAAATCTTTTGCCACAAAATTGAGCATGAACCTGAGTGATGTCAATAAACAAAATTCCTTGCGTTAATGACAGCACTACAGAAAGTAAGTTGGAACGTACTAAAATTTAATTGAAGACTATTGATGATTTAGAAGAAATGAAGAGTACCAGATCAAGTTCAAGTACATCCATAGTACATTCATTTTGAATTGGTCACGTCAATTCAATTGTCACTTTATATTATTTTCTTAATATTTAAGGAAATTTAATATTTGTGGTGGCATATATTTGGTGTTTGTTCAAAAAGTGTGAACATTAAAAAATCACTTCAAACTAAATTTAAATGAATTATGAAGTTACTACATTTTAATCTACAAATAATAAAACGGTAAATAGGTACATTAAATGTTAAGTATTTGGTGTTTTGAAACATTACTGTGCTTCCATGAACTAAAAATTAATCCAAAATTTACAATCGCATAATACCTGGTTACATGACTTACGTGGCAACAGTGTTTATTTTCTGTAATCTGCAAAGTAATTGTGTTGAAGTTTTCAATGTTTATATTAGCCAGTATTTTCCGCATTTAACATTAGAATATCCCTGTCTGTCTTAGAATTTAATGTATCGTATAATATTATCAAATTGAAGAATATATTACAGTATGGGTGCCATCTCTTATCGGAAAGAGTCGACTCCGATGTCACGAAATAGTTGAAAAAAAACGAATAACGATTGTCGAAAAGGGGGACATTTGGTTTACATAGTTCGAATGGAAAATGGAAATTGCCTCGCACAGGATCAAGGATGTTTCATATTAATAGCGAAGGCCGAAGGCCGGAACCCGTGCTGCCAACTTCGACAAGCGTAACGAAGCGGCAAAATGGCAAGTTAAAAGCTTTCAGAAAAAAGTACTTTAGCATAAAATGCGTTTGAAATCATCTGCTGGACTGGCTCTAGGAAGTTTTATGATAATCGCGTAGGCCGTAACCGGGGCCTCACCGAATCATTGGACTCGCGTAGCGAAACGTCGCAGTGCCTTGGAAGTTTGAAGTTAATAAATGCGACGCCATTCCGCAGAACGATGGCGGTGTAGTTCATGTTCTCAGGGAAGTGAGCCGATTCTGTCTGTTTTATAAAACTAGTATGCTTGTAAATACATTCAACTCGTTTCTATTTAATTTTTATTACCCAAATTTCTACTACGGATGGATCACATGTTTTCTGATTTTATTTGTTCCAAAGTTTACCCTTTTTGCTCCATTAGTACAATTTAGTATTGATTCGTAATTTTACCTAATCCGCCGCCACTGCATTTTTTTGATGTGCCATTCGTATGATGGACAAGTATTTCTGGAAATCCGCTTTTTTTGTTAACTATTATTAATAAATTGCCCTAACTATTAATCAGCATTTCAATCAACATTTGGTATTTTATTTCAGTTATTCTATGTAACTCAATTGGGCTCGTAATTTTTTTCGAATCAGTCATGACTTCTATACAATATTTTCTAAATTTATCGAAAGAGCTTTTTTATTCAATATAGTCACCGATCTTCGCGCGCTCTACATCTTCTCGGGTGGAAGTTACCACTAAAATCCTTCTTCTTTGCATTTTGTCCGCTTTAATGTCCTAATATCACTATCGCACGTCCAACGCCGGCAATAAGGGACCTTGCCTCTCACTATTCCGCGCAGCTAGTAATAATTTTATTTGATTCACGGACAAAAATTCCACCGACACTATCTGTCACGCATACCAATCAGACTTGCTCCACGGCCCCCTTCTACTTTGACGTCATTTTATTTATTTTTCCTCACATATAATAAGAGTCCCCAAATATTCCGATTATTTCGGTATGTTACAACATTATTGGCGTATTTCATGGTTTGTGATACTTGTAGTCACAATATTTTAAATTGCCTATGAAGTTTTACGAAATCCCGGTACGAGTGAGCAAAAAAATCTCATTTTCAAAGACGGTTAACATTTTCTAATTTTTTTTCAAATAAAAAATATATATTGCTGTTCTATGATTTCCCGAAAGCCTCATTTTAAAGATACAATACGACGAACAATTAGAAATGGTTTTCATCCATCACTATGGGCGCTTTGTTTCGTGACTGCGACCTCTTCTGTTCATCTCAGGGAAAGGCATCGTCAATTTAAGCGATTTCCGTCTAGCTCCACTCACTGTCGCCGGAAAGGTTATAATATGCAGAAAGGAATCTCTGATAAAACGTACAAGTATACTATAATTTAATCGATTTCAAGTACTTGGCAACCTACAATAGCTGTTCTCAAACTTCATGCGCTTGAGATTCCCAGAGCAGATATTCCCCTGTAGAATTGTAACCTTGATTTTTAATAACTCAAAAGGAAAACTTAAGGGAAACTCCTGTAATAAGCTTCTGAATGTTCCCAGATTAATCAAAATCCTTTCAATAGGTTTTATAGAAGAGTGGATAGTTTAAAATAACCGTGATATTTGACCAATTTGCTTTTGATAGGCCGAATATAGTATTATTTTGTTACAACTTGCACTTCGTCAGATAAGAGATTTACGCCATATATTGAATGGTTCATTTTGAAATTAGTTTTACAATTTATTTTTTTAGAGTTTTCGCTAAAATCATTCAAAGTTTCCGTGAGACAGATTGTGCAATAAAAAGATTGGTATTTGATAAAATATATTTATAATCTTTGGTTGCATGTTTTTCTTGGGATGCAATACAATCAAAATGTTTATTTTCATTAAAAATTTTACTATTTAAATTTTGTGAGTGGCAAGAAAATGTCGCGAAATCATCCATAACAATCTCACAGCGTGTTTTGATCTTTCTGAATCAATCTAAATCTGCATACCACAGAGTGCCTTGTAACAAAAAATCATTTAATTTTGGAGGAAATATATATATATATATATATATATATATATATATATATATATATATATATATATATTAGACGCTACAATGCTACCTTTTCCATGAATTCCTTTCACGGAACATTCGCGTCGTCGAACACTCCAAATTGGTTGGTTCAAAATGTGCTCCACACATTATAATCAGGTAGTAAAAATTGAAGTAGTGGAGTTCTGCAGGAATTTGTACAATAATTTTTTCAACTTTCTGCTGCCTTTCATTCAAAGCAAAAGCAATGGGAAGTATAACGAACTACCTGTCCTTTCGCGAGTGAGCATCGGTAACAGACCTTCATGGGAGACCAAAGCATATCGTCTTACGAATATTATAAACGTTCGTATTTAAACATTTTATAACAAAAAACGAAAGACTTCTGTTTTTCTAGAATGGAATCCTGTAAATAAAGATTGTAAGTGGTTATATGTTTTTTCACATTATTTCTAACATATTATGGCGTTATAACCTCTGTTCGTATTGCCTTTGTCATGGTAAAGACAACAGAGATAGCTAATTTTCCCGTTAAGAATCAACAACTAAAATTTGCACAAATAATGTTTGATGTCTTAACATCTGTAATAAACTTTTGATGCTATTTCTATGTTCCATTCAGCGAAAACTCTTTTTTCGTTTTTCTTTCCTGGCCAGCGCAACGAAATTCAGGAGCCGACCGCTCCGTGCCTGCGAGCGGAGAAAAGAAGTGCACGTGCGCACTCCATCGAAAAACCAACAGTCAATTAACGTGAACGTAGCGGTAGGGAACGCAACACAGCGTGGTTCACTAAACAGCCTGCGGAGTTTACAAAAGACAAAGAAAAAAACGATTGAAAATGAAATGAAGAACAGCGGATGAAATGAAACTAAGGATAATAGCGTTAGAAAGTGGGATAGCGTAGGGCAGTGGAGTGACAGGACAATACAGTAGTTCAAATTTTCGGTTTTGTAGATTATTGAATTCAATTGGTGTTTCAAATGCAGGTACGACCAAGACTTATCCAATAGTACTGATAATATTCCACGATGACGTATGCTGCACGCAATTATTATATAAGAGAAATTAAAGACAAGAAGCGTAAGATTTTACTATGCAAAAAAGATGTCAGCAAGGAGCTAATGCGAGTGTTCTCAAGTAAATTGCAGAATGATTTCTGATAAAGAAGATTAGCAAAATTTTAAAACATTTGTCTCATATTTTTCATTTTTTTTGGAAATAACTGTTTTAGAATGATGCAAGGTTTAGGATAATTGAATCATGTTCAAAGTATTTTAACAAACAACAAGCACATAAATCAAATCGAATTTTAAATTGGAATTAATATTCTCATTATATTTGGAATAAAAGAATTGTAGTGTTGTGAGGGTAGACCTAAATGATAAAGATGGCCGTTTGGCCCTCACGAGCTGTTTTCAAAATTCACATACGATGTGAAGTCATTAGCTCGGCAAATCAGTATAATTTATCTGATACTTTGTCGTCCACATTACTTTAAAGAAATTACCATTAAGATATCTCATTGTACACAAAGTTAGATCACGTGTATTCAGTACACGTTGATAATAGAATTTCAAAATGTTTCCAAACATTTTGTGAAAATGAATTGCAATTGAATATCTTCACCTTCTACGGAATCGTAACAATAGGACCACACTTCAGAAATATTTCCTTTGCTCGTTGATAGGTATTATCACAGCACACATCAATAAATGAGGAGGAAACAGAACATAATCGCATAGCTGCTCAGCCAGTCATCCACAGAAGTAGTGAACATGAGCTTTATTAAAGACTAATGAAACATTTATAAGAAAACAAAAATTAAACTAATTCTGCACGCTTACTAGATATTGCATTTTATAATTCTATACAAAATTTGTTGTTTGAT